GGTGGGGCGGGCGGCGTAGCACGCGCGGTTAGTGCATGCTTACATTTGCATATATATATATATGTACGTATGTGTGCGTGTGTGCGTGTGTGTGCGCGCGTGTGTATGCGCGCGTGCGTGTGTGGCCTCCAGCCTGGGACCCAAGCCCGGAGCATGGCAGCGCCCCTGCTGTCAGGCAGAGCCCGGCCCCCGCCCAGGCCCCCCGCCGACGCCCCCGCCGCCGCACACTGTCTCTCTCTCTCTCTCACACACACACACAAGGACACATGGACACGCAAGGGGAGGGCCCCGCACGCACCGCCCAATTCCGGGAAACACTCATCGAAGCTGGTCCAAGGACAGGGGGTCGGCGGGTGCACCGGCACCGGGACCAGGTGCTCGGGGCTGGCCGCCGGATTGGCATCCTCCCGGTCCAGGTAGAGCTTGACCGGGGCGCGCAGGAGCAGCACACCGCCCGGCGGCAGGCGCATCGAGGTGATCCGCGTGAAGAGGCCGCCCTTCTCCTCGTGCATGTGCAGGCGGTCCTCTGTGCGCGCCGCCACCCGGCCGTCAGCGCAGAGCCGGAGGGCGGGAGAGGGGGGAAAAAAAAAAGAACGGCACAGCCCCGGGCCGGGGAAGGTGAGTGACGTGTCCCGGTGCGTGTGCCTTCCCCTCGAGCGCCCCCCCCCCCCCCGGGTGCCCGGGGAAAGGCCCACAAGCAAACGCAAGTGGACGGGCCTACGTACCATCCCAGATCTTCTGCATGCCAAGATCATGCACGCGGGCCCAGTCCACCGGGCCGATGGGGCCATGCCCGCCGGCCGCCGCCTGGGCCTCGAGCCACTTGCGCCGCCTGTCGGTGTCCAGCTCCACCCAGGACATCATGACCGGCTGGAAGCCGGTCTGCTCCAGGGGGATGTCCGCGCTGACATCTGGATGCCGGGCGGGCAAGCGCGCGCACGCGAGTCCGGAGCAAGGCACGCAGCGAGGCAGGGCGCCAGCGAAGGACCGAGAGAGGGGACAGCGTGTCAGTCCCCATCGCACGCACGTGCACACCTCGCCGGGGTGCACACACACACACGCGCGCGCGCACACGGCCCGATGCACGGCGCCAGGCAAAAGAACAGGCCCACCGAGCACGTACGATGGTCCGGCGTCTGGTCAAACCCATCGCCGAAGGCCGGCCGGGCCACCAGCACAAAGGCCGAGGCACAGGTCACGGCGAATTCATCGTCCGCACCCCCGGTCATCGGGCCGTCCGGCTCGTTGCACATCCCGCGGCACTTGGCCGCCATGCAGGCCGGGGCCTCGCGCCGCCACCGGCGAATGACGATGAACTCCCCGCGCTGGGCCACCGACGTGGCCCAGTTCCCCACGGCGTGGACGCCGGAATCCCGGCAAGGGGCCAGCCGGGCGAAGAGCCGCATGAGCTTGGATTTGACTGTCGCCCGGGCGGGGGGGGGGGGACGCACGCCGCCGGGCCGCGAGGCGCAGGCGCAGAAGCACGTCAGCGAGGCCGTCATGCACGGGGGCAGGCAGGAGGCCGAGTCGCGAGCACGCGCGCCCGGGAATACGCACCGGGCTCCAGGGCCGCGAGGGATGTCACCACGGGGTACTGCTCGCCGGCGCGGGGAGGGGCACCACCGCGCCGCCATCAAAACCGGTGTCAGTGCCGGCCACACACACACACACACACACACGCACACACGCACACCCGCACCACGCACGGGCGCACGCCGGGAGGGAAGGCAAACACAAAGGCACAAAGCCCACAAGCGCCGCCCCGGCCCCCCCCCCCTCCCCTCGGCCATGCTCCGGCCGCACGGGTCCCGCGCTTGCCCCCGCCCGCCCACCGGCCGCCGGCCACCGGCCGATGCGCGCACCTTCGTCCGCTCGCCGCACACCTCAATGCGCCGGGAAAACAGCCGGTCGGCGCCGATGACGCTGGCGCGCGGCCCGCGCCCGCCGACCAGCGACACCAGGGCCGCCTTGGCCAGCTGCATGCGCGGGTCGGTCGGCACATCGTTGTCATGCGTCTGGTCCGCCAGGATGGCGGTCGGGGTGACTTGGGCTGCGGGCGCCCGCAGGGGGGTGGACGGTCAGAGGACACAAAGTACACCGCGTGCGAGGGCGCAGCCCAGCGTCCCCGGGCCACGCAGCCACACAGGGGCCCGTGTTGGCGATCGCGCGCCAGCCGGCCAGCGGGCCGCGAGCCCGAGGCCCGCCCCTCCCCTCGCCCCCGGACCGCGGCAGCAGGCCAGCCAGCCAGCCCCCCGGCCCCGGCACCCGGGCTCGCGGGGGGAGGCCAAAGAAAAAGCCCTCCCAGCACAGCACCCCCGCCGGTACGTACTCAGCAGCGACCAGTAGCCCGGGTAGCCGAGGTGCCCGTCGCCCATGCCCGAGGCCATGGCCTCGCCGAGCAGGCGCATGAGGTCCGGCGTGCTGCGCGCCTGGGCCGCCTCGCGCACCAGCGCGTCCAGGCCCAGCCGCGCGGCATACGCCCGGTCGGCCGACGCCCGCCCGGTGAAGAGCTCGGCGATGACCCGGATCCCGGGGTTCACCTGGCGCGCCTGGTCCAGCAGGTACTCCGCCACATGCCGCGGCGTGCTATGGCAGTTGTCTGGGTCCGGGGGGGGGGGGGGGGGGGGCGGATGCCGACGGGCCGTGGCGCAGGGAGGGTCAGCATCCGGGCGCCGGAGGGCCCCGCCCAGGGGGGAAGCAGCAAAAAAAAAAAAAAAAGAAGAAAAAAAACAAGGCCCGGCCGATGCACACGGCCACCCCCCACACCACCGGCAACGACAGCCGCGAGCCGGTCAGCCCCGCCCCGTGTCCGCCGGGCACGCACCGATGCGGAACATGTCGAAGGCACTGGCCATGGACTTGGTGTACACCCTCATGTAGTTCCACAGGAATGGGCAGTCCTTCTGCGGGCGCCAGGCGCACAGGCGGGGGCCCGCGGCCGCGGGGCCGCCCGGCAGCAAGAGCGAGTCAGATAACCGGAGCATGCGCGGAAGGCGGGGGGGGCGGGCAAAAAAGAAGAAAAAAAAAAGGCCCCCGCCCCGCGCCCGGACAGGGCCCCACACACGCACCGGCCCCTCGCCATAGCGCAGCTTGATGCAGTCGCTCCAGACAATGACCTCGCGCCGGAGGTAGGCCGAGCCGCCGGCGCGCTCGACAAAGTCCCGCCCGTCGGACCCGGACGCCCCCCACACCCAGCCGTTGTTGGCCTGGATCATGCAATCCGGGATGAGGGCCAGCTCGTCGGAGTACCCCTGGCAGTCGGCCTCCACCCACCACCGGGTGCAGATGGCCGGGCCGGTGGCGCACTTCGGCTGGCCGGTGTACGGCCCGCGCCAGGCCGAGAAGTAGGGCGACACCATCGGGTGGCGCTGGGAAATCTCCGCCGGCAGGCGCGGCCCGTGCGGATCCAGGCGCTCGTACCGCAGGCGGTTGGCGATGGCCGTCGGCGCCGCGCGCAGGATGTCCGCCTCGTACGAGTGGTACAGCGGCAAGTTGAGATTGGCGATGGCCCGGCGGATGGCCCGCGTGGCCGTGGCGATGTGGTTCTCTGCGCGGCGGCCGGCGCCCGGGCCAGCAACACATGTGTCAGCGGAACGCGGCGCAGCATATCCATATGCATAGGGCCAGAGGCGGGGGCGGGGGGGGGGGGGGGGGGGGGGGGGGGGGGGCACACCGGGGAAAAGGGGTCAGACATGCGAATGTGGGCCCCGGACGGGGTGAAGGCCGTGCTCGCAGGCCGGGACCTGCGCCACGATCAGGGGCCGGGACCTGCGCCGCGATCAGGGGCCGGGGTCTGCGCCGCGATCGGTGCCCCTGCAGCCACCCCGAACACCAGGGCGGCCGCCCCGGGCCGGCCAGGATGGCCAGCCAAGGAAAGGCAGTCTGCCCACGCACACTCCACATCGTAGACATAGTATTCCCAGAGGCGCAGCCGGTCGATGACCTCCTCCTTGAAGCGGGCCATCATCGGGCCGATCTGGTCCTGCGCGAGCCCCCGCGGCGACGCGCATGGGGGGAGACAACGTATACAGGCGCGCCCGTGTCCCCGTCCGGCGGCGGCGGCGGCGGCGGTGCGCGTGGCGCAGCATGTCGGCGTCAGCAAACGCATGTCGGGGAGAGGAGAATGCAACGGACACGCCCGCGAGGGCCACCCGGCACACACACACACACACACACACACACACACACACACACACACACACGCATCTGCCGCAGGACCAGCCCAAGTAAGGCAGGAAAGAGAACCCCACCCCAGCCCGGCCCGGTCAGGGGCGTACCTCGTGCGTGATGGCCCCCGGGTTGCGGGCCGACCAGCGGATGATGGCGCGGTCCAGCTCCCAGGCCGGGCGCAGCCACGGGGCGGTCCACAAATTCCAGCTGGCGTCCGGGTTTTCCCGCAGCCACACGGCCCCGGCGCGTGGCTGCCCACCCCCGGGGCCGGCCCCCACCGGCGGGCAGTCCAGGTCGATGTCGTGCAGGTTGGCCTCGGCCTGGAGCTCCGGGCTGAGGATCCGGTACACATGGTCGATGCCCTGGTTGGGGGACAGCGGCCCGGAGGGGGTCACCCGGCGGTCGGCCACCGGCATGACCGCCAGGTCGGTGGAGATCGGCCGGAAGGGCGGCGCCGCCGCGTGGTTCCACACGACATCGGTGCAGGCGCGCAGGCCGCACACCCGCGCCAGGCGCTGGGTCATCTGCCGGAGGATGGCCGCACTGGCCTGGAAGCCGAGCCCGGCCGCCGTCGGGGGCTGGGGCGCCCCCTCGGCCGGTGCCCGCCGCAGCACCGCCACCACCGACGGATCCAGGCGCAAGTGGTCCGCCAGCGAGTAGGCCGAGTCCGAGGGGCCGCTACACTCGGGCCAAGGCCGCGTCGAGGGGAGCGCCCAACACCCGGGGCCCGGAGTCCGAGATCAAGCGACCGAGGGGCGGGGGGGCAGGGGGGGAGAGAAGTTAGCCCCGGGCGAAAGCGTGCTGGCCAGCCGCCATGCAGGGGGCCTGGGGGCTTTCCGCTCGCCTGCTAGGCAGCCACAGGGTGGCATCCGTGCACTGGCCCGCCCCCCTTGCCTTTCGTGCTCCGCCACACACACACACACACATCCAACCCTGCACACACATCCCTCTGTGCACACGCACCGGAGCTGCAGAGGCGCAAAGTGCACCGCCGTGTAGCCGGCCCGCCGGAGGCTGGCCATCTGCAGGAGCCACTGGACGCCGGGCTCGAGGCTCGCAAGCTCGTCCGGCGCCGCTGGCCCGGCCTTCTGCCGGCCGGCGAGGTTCTCGAAGAAACCCGGGGCCGCCTGAGCCGCGGCCGCCAGCTGGCCATGCCACCAGGCATCGTCACCGCCGCCGGCGGTCGGGCTGCCGGCCGCCGCCTCGAAGGGCTGCCAGAGGTGCGCATTGCGCAGGATGGCCGCCGTGGCCACCGGGCCGTTGGCCGCCGGCCGGCCGCGCGCCGGACCACCCGGGGCGCCGACATCGGCCGACCCGCAGCCCGACACGGCCGAGAA